GCTGTTATATATCATAATTCATCTAGTGTAGGTTTGAGAGAAGTTGAGATATCAGTGTCAGTATCAGTGTCAGTGTCAGTTTGAAGAGAGAGTGTTCTAATCAGAGAAGTATGTATAGTGTCATGAGCTATTTCATCTTGATCAACTAATATCTTCAGATCTAGAAGCTGATGTTCTCAGTTCATTTAACAGGTGTCTGCTACATCAGAAGGCATATCTTGCTCTTATTATAAGAGAGCATCTGTTATTGAGTTCTGGCTGCTGAGACAGTAGTGTATTGTAAAATAAAAGCAGCTTAAGAACTCTGATCATTACATCTATCATTCAGTGAGTTTACAGATAGTTATGAAGTATTTGAGATTCTTATAATCTGTGATTATCTCAAATTCAGAGACACTTCAGAGTTCAGAGTCTTATTCTTCTAAACAGTGTACAATCATAAGAAGTTCCTTATTATAGATCTTATAATTGTATTCAGTGAGACTCAGTTTCTTAGACATGAAGACACATGATCATAGAACATCTTTATCATTATATTACAATATCACTTCTTCTATTACATAGTCAGAGAAATCAGTCTCAACAACTGTCTCATAATCAGAATTGAATGTTATCAGCAGAGAGGTATTAATGAATATCTTCTTTATCTGTGTAAATACAGCTTCAGTGTTTACTAATCATTGAAATACTGAGTCTTTCTTAGTGAGATCTGTAAGTGATCTTATGATATCTGAGAAGTTTCATATAAATTGCTGATAGAAGTTAGTGAATTCAATGAAGCTTTGTATATCTTTCACAGTACATGAAGCTTCTCATTCAAGAATGACAGAGATCTTCTCAGAATTCATTCAAATTCTCTTATCAGCTTCTATGATGAAATCTAAGTATTTAGTACTCTTAACTTTGAAATCACACTTGTCAATATCAATTGATAGTTCTGCTTCTTATAGTTGTTGTAATACTCTTCATACATACTCTTGATACTCTTTTCTGAATTTATCAGTGAAGATGAGAATATTATCTAGATAAGCAGATACAAACTTATCAAGGAAATTTCAGAGTGCTCAGTTAATATACTTCTGAAATATACTGAGAGTGTTAATCAGTTCAAAGAGTGTGACTATTTATTCAAAGAGATTATAACATGTTCAGAATGCTGTAAGCTATTCATCTTCTTCAGTGATACAAATCTTATGAAACATGATGATGATATCTAGCTTTGTAAATCATTGAGCTCACTTAATTCATGCTAGAATTTCATTGATGAGAGATAAAAGATATTAATCTTTCTTTATCAATCTGTTCAGATCTTGATAGTTCATACAGAATCAGAGTTCTTTATCTGACTTCTTTGCAAAGAGAATAGAAGCTGCAGTAGAAGAGTTGCTAATATATATGAATTTCTTATCTAACAGATCATTGAGTGTCTTCTGAAGAAGAAGAAGTTCATCTCAAGACATATTATAAAGAGAGTCTCATGATAACTTGAGATTCTTATCATTCTTCTTTTCTAACTTGATACTGTGATTCACTTCTGAGTCTTATAAAGAAGGTATATTCATAATATTATCTTGTCAGAAGACATCTAGATATTCATGATATTATTGAAAGAGTTTTGTGTGAGAATCTATTATTGTAGTATAGAATAACTTTTCTAGAGCTTTCTTGATATCAGTCAGACTGATGAAATAGATTGATATATAGTTTTGCTATCAGTGACTTTATCAGTGACTCTGTTAGTAATTTTGATGACTTCTTTTTCAGAGCATTCTGTAAGCCTTGACAGAGATCTGTGTCAGATTTATAGTCTTGTGAATATCATCTTCATGAATTCTATCATTATTAGAGAATATTAAACTCCTGTTTCAAGCATTCAATAAGATGTCTTGTTCAGATAGTCAGGCAAGTTCTAACATCAGATCATAATCAAGATTATCAACTTCATATGTATAGATATCTTCATGCTGATATTCTCTGACATCTATGTTTAGTTTCATTATGTAATGAGTGTAAACATCTTTTGAATCATTAAATTCTGCAAGAAGTTGAGGTTTTGATAATGAGATATACTGAAGGTTATGTTGTCTTATGACTGAAGATTTTATCATTGTATAGTGACATAGACTGCTGTTCATTATGACTTTCATATTATACATATTATCAATCACAGTAGATATAAGAATTGCATTCATTATTATTTTCTCTTCAAATCATTGTCATCTGACCTCTTTAAGCTTCTGTTTATAAATTTGAACAGAAGCTAATCTTTTCCCTGTTTCACTGAGACATTCTTATAGTTATCTTCTGAATCTTTCTCTAATGTAACATGGTTGATGTGAACAGGTGTTGATTCATTCTTTAAGTAAGAAGATATGTAGACTGATCAGCAGTTGAAAGCAATGTATTCTGATCAGTTACAGTTAATACACACTTCATATTGACATTGATCAGTGACTTCTTCAGAAGTGATCTCAGAGACTCAGAAGCCTGTTTGAACAGTGAAAACTCTTGCTTATGTATAGGCATTTGAATCTATTCAGTTCATGATATCTGCATTATTACTGTTCTTCAGTGTGAGTGTATAAGTGACTGAGATGTAATATCTTCTATCACTGTTCTGTATACTCTTGAGCTTGATAAGACAGTTATTCAATGTCTGAAGCTGTGTGCAGAAGCCTTCATAAGTTGAGTCTTTATTTACACTTATGAGAATCTGTAAGAGTTCAAAAGTTAATATCTTCTTGAGCATGCTAATCTTTATTCAATTCTTTTAAGATTAATTACCTGCTTCTAAGATCTTGATGTTGAAGTCAGAAATGAATATTATAAGAGAAATATTTCTCTGTTGAATACTCTGTAATTAATCTAATACTTTCTATTGTATAGCAGTGTCTTGAAACAGAATATCAAGATATTTGATGATATTGTCAGATGTTCATAATACTGATTCACATGCTTTCATTCATGAATGAAACTTCTATTTCATGTGATTCTTCAATTATTCATTGATATATCAATCTTGATTGATTAATGAACTGATGACATCTTCATCTACACTCAGTTTCACAAGCATTTTCATTCTTCATGATAAGTAGAGAGTGAGATCAGAAGTATTGAAATATATAGAAGCATTTAAGCATTTCTTCAGCACTTTTATATTTGATTCTGTAGATATTGAAATTGCATGAGTTAATTATTAAATCTCTTTATATTAAAGTTGTTGAGTTGCATGCATATCAGCTATTTATTATTATTGTAATTTTAACATTGCTCAGAGTCATTGTAGCATCATATCTATGCTCACATTTAAGAGTTTCATATTATTATTAGACATGTCATTCATTGAGTGTATAATATCTGTGAAATCTTGAAGAAGTATAATTGTATAAATATCTCATATATCTAAGTGTCTTTCACTGACATTCTCTTTGTAAGATCTTATTGCAGAGTCAGAGTAACTGATGAGCAAGATTCTATCTAAGAACTTAGTGTTTACTTAACTGTTTAACTGTTTCTCTATTTCTTACATGTTATTATATGTTCAGATATCTCTTGATAAATAATTATTTCTAATGAGAAGATAATGCATGAATAATTGTTTTCTAATAAGAAGATAATGAATGTTTTTCTAGTGTAAGAGGCCTACACTGAATAGATCAGTATTATATTAATAGGTCTTATATAACAAAGAGAAAAACATTAGAGAAGAAAAGAAAGAGAAAGTGTGAGAATCAGTGATTGAAGTGAATATTTATACATGTATGTAATAATGTACACAGTGAAGCTTCAGGGCGGAAGAATCTATATGTGTTCATAGCAGCTGAGAATCAGCAATCAAGAATGACTGAGAATCAGAGTGTACATGTTCGAGAATGAAGTGATGGCTGAGAATCAGTGATCAAGAATGGCTGAGAATCAGAGCATATACATTCAAGAATGAAGTGGTTGAAATCTGTGAAGTGTAACAGAATAGTCTATATAATTGATCAGGCGCAGCCTGTCACACATTCATTCATTCATTCAACTCATCAATTAATTAAAGATGTATAACTAATTCATAATCAATTAAATGAACAGATAAATTCATATAGAATATAAAGAGATGTTTTACAGAATTAAATATATCAAGATAAAAATATTTAATAATTGATTTTAAATTGATTTTGAATTAATTCTGAATTAATTATTAATTAATTATAGTAATAAAAATAAATTCAATCTGTATATTTAAGTAATTAACAATTGATTGAAAATCAGTTAATAATTAATTCAGTGTAAATTATATAAATACTTACTTTATTATTAAATTCAAGAATAATTTCAGTATTAAATTAATTTTGAATTGATTTTGAATTGATTCTGAATTAATTATTAATTAATTATAGTAATAAAAATAAATTCAATCTATATATTTAAATAATTAATAATTGATTGAAAATCAATTAATAATCAATTCAGTGTAAATTATATAAATACTTACTTTACTATTAAATTCAAGAATAATTTCAGTATTAAATTGATTTTAAATTGATTTTAAATTGATTGTAGAATTGATAATAAATAATTGAGTGATTTCAAATTACAAGAAAAGATGTATTGAGTGAGGTCAGATAGTGGCACAGGCCACATTTGTGAGGTCAGCTTACATAACGAGGTCAAGTGGCGCACTTAGCGAGGTCAAGTTTTCTGCTTCCTGGGGTCTAAAGTTTGTGCCGCTCTCATGGATGCTTACCTCAGCATAAGACCACCGTACTCATGCATCGCTGGAGTTAGGATACAGCCGCTGGCCATGAAGGGATCTGAAGACACTGGAATCAGAGCTAATTTGCCCCCCCTTTTTCTCCAGTGCGCTCCTCAATTATATATAATAGCCATGGAGCCGCTTCTCGCTGCGTTCTTATTACTCCCCCATTACCTGTCTGGTTCAGCCCCTTTTTGCTCCTCTCTTCTCCATTTTCTCACCTCTTCGTTACTCTGCAAGCAGCAACCAACTCTGCACGATGGTAGCTACTACTACCGCCAGGCGTCAGCCAGCACGCCGTGGTCCAGGGATTACCCGCCCTAAGGGATATTACCAACAACGAATAGAATATCATAAAGCTGCCGGACGGACTCGTCCCCTGTTGGCCGATAGATCAAAGCACAATCTGAAGGTGATGAAGCGCAAGCTAGACAAGTATGTCACATGTACCAATGGATTGTGCTGATGCTCTAACACTCAAGGAGGATGTGTGCCGAGGAGCTTGACATGACACGGAAGGAATACCTCAGGGGCCTAACGGCCGATCGGATCAAGGCATTTTTTGACTGGCTTAAAGATACCCACATCAACAGAATCAAGTGTGCGAGCACTGTCAGCACATACTGGCGGCACCTGAAGATGTTGTTTGCTAGGGAGAATGGCCGCATATTGGATGAAGAGATCCGATCTGACTGTCTGAATGTATGCTCCTAGTCATATGTACCTCTGATAGACAACAACTGATGCATCTGCAGTACAAGAACAAAGTCATAAAAGAATGGGGCCTCCGCAGGCTGCCACGAAGAAGACCTCCCGGGACCAAGGATAATCTCTATGACATCCTTCGCTTCCACTGGGAGCGATGTACCCGGGTGTATACTGATGAGAAGCAGCGGCTCTATGTGTCGGTGATCCAGCTTCTGGCATTCATATCCGGGTGCAGACCTGTATCGCTCCTTGATACTCGGGTCGACGCGAAAAAGGGAACAAAGCGAAAGAGACAGATGGTTGAAGCAAAGACTAGAGGGGTGGAACCCCGGCAGGTGAAGAAGAGAAAAGTGTCTTCGTCTAGGCGAAGTGGTAGTGCTGTGGAGGTGGACGTGGATTCCGGTTCTGACCCGGAATACAGCAGCAATGGAAGCTCATCTGATAGGGTTGCAGATGTGATCTCGGACGACTACACAGATAGTCTCTTGGGTGAAGAGGATGCTCTGGCCAGTGATGACTATGATTCAGGATATGAAACTGGTCCCAACAACAATGATGTCGGATTCATCAGTGAGCACTTCATTGATGATGCGTACGATGCCGGACCAGAGCAGACAGGAGCTCTACTTTGGCGCCATATCGAACTCTATCTTATACGCAGCCCCGTTCCAGGCCGGCCAAACATTCCTCTAGCCAAAGTCACATTCCTCCATACGAAACAAGAGGACAGGAAACCCAGAGTGTAAGTGGTTCTATGACCGATTTATCTGTGCCTTTTTATGCTTACTCTGCAACTCTCAGCAAAACAATATTCCTCAGCCACCATCCGGACCCCATGTTTGATATTCTCGGTCAACTTCTCTCGCTTGCGAAGCACGATAACATCTTCGAGGCCAATATTCAGAATCTGAAAGATATCTACTACTACAGTATCCCAGAAAATCAGCCAGGCGAGCCTTTGAAGATCAAAGCAAAAAGCCTGGATCAACCAGTGTTCCGGCGGCCGGAACGAGGCCCTAATGGTCCGAGGACTTCAGACACTGAGCCGATGGACTATCAAACCTTTTATGATTATCTGACAAAGCTTGGAAAAGCAAGAGGTTTGAAGCATAGCTTACTGATGTATGCCTGGCGGCGCGGGCTTATCAACGCAATAAATTGTATGATTCCTCTGCTTGCTATGTTTTATCCAGTAACTATTGCCTTCCGTTGACTTGCACGCTAATATATTTTGATCTCTAGATAAAGCACCATCCTCGGTTCGTGATCAGGTTGCGGATCATGAATCAAATGCGGTTAAGTATTACCTGGACCGGGAAGTTCAATTTCCCTTGCAAGCTGCTGCCTTGGAGTTTGTTTCCGATGAAGTAGTTGACAAGGCCGCTCGTGGTTTGCTTCTTGATGCCGACCTCACCGCCCCCACGGAGCTTCCACATCACCTTCAGGAGGAGCTTGACAATGATCCAGAGATCATGGAGCTCATTGATAAGAACTCAGAAATTTGGGAGGCACTCAAGGCATTGGGATTCAGATCTGTGCGGTCTGCAAAGGGTCGCACCCCTCTCTATTGGGAGAAGAAACGGGTGTATGCTGAGTTGACGAGCCGCAAGGTCTGGCTACGAAACGAGCTGATGAATCAAGCAAGAAGTGAGCATTTTCGGAATGCCCCCACTGAACGGCTCAACACCTATCTGAGTGGTACCGCCGGGGATGCCGCCAACCACCAATCCCCACCCCTGCCGAGGCTTCTAATTGAGGAACGACAGCTAATTGTGGAGCTTGTTCGGGTGAAAACATCAGAGCTGAGTGAGGATGAGATTCTTGAACGGCGTTTTGCCTGCATGGATCTCTGGGTCAGGTTACAAGACCGAAAAGAGACCAAGCGGCTGGGACTGCAGAGAAAGCGACACCTGCGAGCCACAAAGCCTTCCTCTATTGGCGCGGAAACAGTGAAGCATCTCCAAAGTTCAGAGCTGAGTCGCTTCTCGACTCTTGTTGGGGTATTGATACCAGTACGGGCAGCTCCCGAAAAGCTTCATGAACTTCAGTGTCCGTTTTGTAATGCCGATCCTGGGAGAGACTACGAGGCCCAGTGTAAGATCTGGGACAAACCCTACAGGCTGTGGAGACACATTGAACAGATACACAGTCTGGAGCTCGAAGCTTACTCCACCGGCAAGAAACCTTGTGGGCTCTGCATTAGAAAAAAGGTCTCCTATGTCCCAGAGAGTATTATGGAATTTACTAGGCACACCTTCGATGTTCACGGCCCACGACTCCGCGGAGTATAGTCGACAGGCATTCACTATTACAGCCCCGGAAAAGGAAGGACTATTGAATGCTTTGGAAATTTGAACATAGATTGGACAAGGAATAATTGTATGTCTAGTGATCCATTACGTACCGATGTATTTAGAGCCCTGCCCTCATAATAAGTTAGACAGGGGACAGTGTTGGTAGCTCTGTAATCGCAACGGGAAAATTATTATCCAGTAGAAATGATGCCTTTGCACGCTAACAAGGGGGCGGTGCTGCGCTGGCAAGGGAGCCTCGTCGGCTCAACCATAAAAGGGCGTCCATCCCCAGTTGTACTCTCTCCTCCCTTTCTCTCATTCCATCCGTTGGTTTACAGTCCCACATCCAGCCTACTTGACCCACCGAACTTCCATTTGATTGCCTTACTCCGCTACCATTCCATTCACTCCTGCAGCAATGGCACCCTTCCTCCCTGCTGAAATAATTTTGTGCATCCTTGAGCATATGCCAGACATTTTCACGCTCTTTTCAGCAATCCTGACCTGCAAGGATATCTGCGCTGTGTTTACAGACAATGAAGATCGGGTAATGGGATCTGTATCCTGGAATGGGGCGATGAACAAATTTACGGATCGAAGAATGACGGACTGGAACCTGATGCGTGGCGGGAGGAATACGAATGCAACAAGAGGCCGCGCAGAATCCTGACAAGGCTCTTTCGACAGCTGGTTTTCATGGTCAACACTGCCGACTCCTCCAGAGAGACCACCAGAAGGTTTTTTGTGATCATGTGGCAACTCTTTCGATCAAACCACGCTGAGGAGTTACTTATTCCTGTAGCAATACGTCTTGCCCAAACGTTTGAACAGAGGGAGCAAAAACCAAAAGCAGTCAAGTTGCTTCAGGCAATCTGGAATGACAAGCATCCATTCGCAAGGAGGCAACCCTTTTCAACAGCCGCCGTTCTGAGGTTCAGACTATGGGCAACAATGCTAACTTACACTCCTGCCCCCCCTCCAACACTGTACCCCTTGGGGAACCGATTGATTGGCTTACTTGGCCAAGATCATCCCAGTTTCTCATTACTGCAGGAGGCGACTTCTAAGGCGAAGCGGGAATTTAATTCTTTGCCAGTGGTGAAGATTGGGCAGCAAAGCTTGTCCAACTTTGAGGGCCTTTTCTTGTCTGACACAGACTTCGAAGAGGACGGGATCCAGTTTGTTTATCGCCGTGAAAAGCGCAATAAAGGCCAAATTCCACGAAGAAAGCCAACTTGGCTGGATCCCATCCCGGTGCTGGTGAGGGTTAGAGAAGATTTTGATTTGGAGTGAAGCATCATAGCAGAGTTTCTGCCGAAAATAGTGTTTCTTCCTGCTACCCTATCCCCTTTTATTGAGTGGCGACGAGTCGATTTGGGAATACCTACCGTGGAAATTAACAGCAGAGACAACAAGTGGAGTGGGGGTCAAGGGAATGGAATGATGAGCAAAAGGGGTGACAAGCAGAATGGGGATCAAGCTAAAGGGGTGGTTCATTTACTTATTTATTCATAGACTGTCGTGGCCGCCCTCAGAGTTGGAACCCGAACTGGTATGCAAGTTTGTTATGCAATATAGCCCTCTCGAAAAGAGCATTATGGAATTCACTAGGCACACCTTTGATGTTCACGGTCCACGACTCCGCGGAGTATAGTTGACATGCATTCACTATTGTAGCCACGCCTCCCACGGTTGCTACAGCTCTTACACCTACGCGTCTCCTACGCCTCCTACGCTTCCATCACCTCATACACTCCCTACGTCTCCTACGCCTCTTACACCTACGCGAATCCTACGCCTCCTACGCCTCCAACGCTTCCAACGCCTCCCCCTACGTCTCCTACGCCTCTTACACCTACCAAGGCAGCGATGGCTTCTCCCAGGGAGTTCCTCCAACAATTGCGAGACTATGTCGAGAATCATCCTGATACCGAAGCCAATGTCAATACTGATACTGATTGTGGTATCTGCATGGAGCCTTTCTTTCTCCCGTTCCGATGGAGCCCTCAATGCTCGCATTCTTTCTGCCTTGACTAGATTAGATGGAAAAGGTTGAGGGGTGTCGGAGACCTTCCTTTTGATTAGGACCTGAGGCGGCCAGGGGCTTGAGGCTTCGAAGGCGTAGGTCGCAGAGTGACGCGAGAAGCTATCAGAAAGTCACATGATCCGGCCGTCTATTATTCCGCCTGGACCCATCTTGTCAGGAAGGTTCGGAGTTTCTCCAAAGAGCATCCGTCAGGGTGCTTGGTGGAAAATAGCGGCATCATTTTCAGCCAAATCTTATTGGATTATTGTCGGGCCGAATGCTCACATGAGTTGTCTTACTCTTGTCAAAGAACCGGCCGCCCAGACGGTCGCGGAAACAATGCAGGGACGCCGCCGTCTCCAGAACAACCCCTCCTCTCAGTGTTCCTCTGACATTCGATGGCACGTTTAGAACATGGGCATAGGAAAATTTGAATTATTCGTGATGTGAGTACATTATGTTTCTCTGGTCTAATCACCATACATAACTCCCCCGTAACTTTCAACCTCCGTAACGTCATCCATGGAAAGATGATATCTACCCGAGAGTTAGCAACTAGTATCATAGCAGGGGCCAGAAAGGCTCACTGCTCTCTAGCATCTGGCTTCCTGGGCACTATCATCTCTGCCGCTCTGTCTCCATCGTCTTAGCATTCTGTCACCATTATTTATCCCTAAGACTGTTCAAATAACATACCTCTCATATATCATTCAGTTTCAAAGTATGTTTGCGACCTAGACTGATGTCAGGGCTATCTGCATGTTGGTGTTTCATAAAGTAGGAATCTGACCTCTGCAAAAGTAGGTCAGGATTGCAATCTGGGTGCTTTTTGAGAATATGGGTCTTGAAATTGTCCTTTCGTGGCCATATCTTTTCTGAATCGCAATATTGTGCCGCGCATTTATAGGCTAGACCTACCAACACCCCATGGACAGATTTTTGGTGCCTTCTAAGTTCAGCTTGATTTCCAAAACGTTTCTTGCAGTTGCTCATGTCACAACTGTATCCCTTTACATGTTTCGTCATGTGTTTTCTATCATTTTGTGAGTCTTTTGTTGCCCAATAAGCCCGAGCGCATGCCTACCTTTTTTCACAGAGAAGGCGCCCGGTCCACGGGCAGCCTGGGACATCACATCTTAGGCGACTTCGACCCAATATGCTCATATCGACCCATTCCCTGCCGCTCCTCAGAAGTTGGGCCTCATCTTCGTCTGTGGACCAGTCTTTGCGGGTACGGTTCCCAAGAGTCATCATCTCAGGCACGGATGTGACAGATGGCTGATCGCCTAGAGAGGCATCCGCTAGCTCTACCGGCTTCGCCGACGGCTCCCGGTTAGATACCGGAGTGGCAGCGTGGTTTTCATCCGGCTGTAAGAAACTCACAAAACCGAGGTCCTCTGAGGCCGAGTCACAGCAACATCTCATCGCTCTCCTACACCCTCTTGACTCAGCATTGAATGGCATGGCACCAACCCTTTGAGACATATCATCTTCTCCGAGCTCCCAGTGCATACGCTCTGCAACTCGCCATGGTACTTCCAGCTCCTGCGCAACTTTCGTCCACATCTCTTTTCTAAACCTACAATGCATCAGCATCAACCATGGAGACACACATGAACGGCCTCATACCTATAGTATAGCCGTGCCAGTTTGGTTTTCTGATTCTCGTCCCAGTTACAACCCTTTTCGAGATAGTTTTGATAGCGTAAGCGGCAGCTGATGTGGCTTCGACCTGGCAGGCGTGCGCTGACATCCTTCCATTTCGTACCACTCCCCCGGAGTCGAATAATGCACTCATCTTCTTCCGCGGACCACTTTGCCCAGTGTTTTTTGGCGGTGCGATCGCCAGGAGGCATCTCAGACGAGAATGTGGTAGTTAGCTGATCGCCAGGGGAGCCATCTGCAACTTCTACTGTTGATGGTGCGTGGCTCGAAGTCACAGGAATGACATGGCGCTTTGGGATTTCGTTCTCTGACCATAGGAGCTCGGAGATATCCATCCTGCTTTTTGGCTTCTTATTAGGATAGCCCTCTTTGTCCGTCTTCGGAGGGAGAGAGACATCTTCCGTCTTGAAGTCTCCATGGTTCCGTACCTCACTGTGATAAGGACTATAAGGACTCTTCGGAGAAGGTTGCGTTTGTGGTCCGCTCTTGTTGGCTGGTTTCCTATTCATAAATTTTTGATGGAGCAGCTCCAGACCGGGATTGTCCGGAGGAGTATGCTGGAAATCTCCATCAGTAGGGGTGGCAGGAGGAGGCGCTGGGATTGGAAAAGCAGGAGCAAGGACATCGGGAGTCTTGCTGCTGGACTTCATTGCTTCAGGCATTGTGGTAGATAGTGATAAGATAATAAGTGATAAAAGATGCAGTTTGAAAGACTTCTCGCAACACTTGCTTTCATCGAATCGACCTGTTCATTGCCTCAGGATTTGGAGGGGGGTTTTGTGTCATCCAACCACATCTTGACCACTGTACTGCACTCGGGTCTGTTCAAGTTCCATATCAGGTTGGTTGGGCAAGTCTGATGAGAAACATCGATTCCGGCTTGCAGGGTATGGTGATCTTGCATGGGCTCTGCATATTAAGAAAAGCAGTAAGGGCCCGAGCTTTGTAGCCGCGCAGTCCAGTCCGGTTAGAACTGGCTCAAGGTGACCCTGAGACGCTGAAGTTCTGGCTCAAGAATTTAGTTTCCAGAAGTTGGTCAAAATTTGGATTCCAAAAAAGGGGATATGTTCTGACCTGTCCGCTCTCCATTTTCTGAAGACTAAAATTCTGCTACGTCTTCCAGTTTCTGTGGGTGGGCCTACCTTGGCACAATCGCTGATTCAGCCTTTTACCACAGACAAACATTGTTGATCAAGCTTGAGACTCGGGGTTGGACAAGTTTGGAGTCCGTGCCACGGGCCACGGGAAATTTTGTCGCATGACGGAATTCAACTGGCGTACGAAGCTATTAGCACGTCACTCGAACTTGCATCAGGAGAAGCTGGTGCATGCGTTCTTGCAACTTACCACAGACCTTGAGCGCGTTCGGTACCACATTTTCATAATTGCCAAATTTGGATAATACTTGCTTATCACACTTCAGAGGTGATTCGCTTCGCGTGCATGTGAATGCATGGAGATGAGACCATCTCACAAAATGACATTGGGACAAGCATCAGACAAAAGTTTGGCGCCGCCAGATCCATTCGGGGATGCAAGCCAGTGCACCAGAGCGGTGATTAGGCTGGACAGGTATATAATGAGCTTTCGCTCCTCGGCCAACTCCAAGTACATCAGGCGATCGACATCGCGACGATTATCTTCTTTCGCCCACACTGCACCTTTTATCTTCGCCACGCTTAGCGCAATACCATGGATTTTTCCGCAGCTTACGACCCGACTATCTTCGGCAATGTTTCGTCTCTTGAGACCGCCGCCGAAAACTTTCGAAACCTGAACGGAGTCTCCATCGTACAGACAACGCTAAAGAGCCTAATTCTCCAACATGAAGTGGCCGATAGTTTCGGGGTTGCGCTTGTCCACCGTCATTTTGACTTGGACAATGGAACAGTCCTTGTAGAGAAGGACATGGTTCTTTCTCCCTGGGCATGCGACAGCTCCTGGGATAAGTTTGGCGGCAAGATTGCCCCCATTTCATGGCTTTGCAAGGGGGACAAAACGTTCCCATACGAATTTGGTTTCTTTTCCTACCGCCAAGCGATGCCGATGAAACTTGAAGAACACAGTGCATTTGTCCAAGCATATTTTGATGCTGTCAAACAGCATGGGCTCGAGGAATACATCGGTCTTCGGCGCCTGTCTGGACGTGAACCTGAGGAAATGCTGGAATGCACAGAGGGCAAAGTGAACATCAACTTTCCAATTAGTGAGGTCTGTCAAAGGTGCTCCCTGCAGCATAAACAATTGCCAAAGTACTGACTGAAATAGATCCCTCCAGAATTTGTTGAAAACGGAACGCAGACAATGTGGTTTTTCGACGGCCAGCCTCCATACCGTATGTATCGATGCTCGTGCATCAATACTGGCAGCAAGGACAATCCAAATCACAATCATATTGATCGCAACTAGGAGCTACACTTAGGTTGACAAGATAGTTTAAAAATGACTGGAGGCTTGATGGAGGATACTTCTGTTGATTCAACATATGTAACTATCCATAAGGTGACGATGATGGGCGTGGGAATGTGAAGCAATGGCAAGGATCCGTCTCCAAGCGAGGTCGCGCTGGAAGGCTCTATCTACCCTTTAATTGGCTAGTCCCTTGTCTGAACAATCATCCTTCCAACATCTTGCTTGGTACATGGTGGATCACCTGACAAATTTATTAAAGTTCACTAACCGCATCTCCAAAGTAAAAATTGATACTATTCATCATTCTTTCTGGGCAAGGGATTCGCCCGTTCCTGGACACTCTGTCGCCAAGGCCCAAGTGTGTAACGATGCCAATTCTATTTGACCTAACATACAAATAGAGCGCAAAATACGAAGATTCAAACCTGAAGAAGAAAGGAAAAAGATGAAAGCTGCTTCGCGAAGTGTTGCATATAAACAAAGGAAGCCCTAGATCTGTGCCCTAGTCCTAGTCCCTTTCCGGTAATGAGATCAAAGAGGCAGCGCCGTCACAAAGTGCTATTCTCATCCTCCATTCCATTTCCATCCTACCCACGACGCTCCATCTCGCCTTCACACCCACGGATTCATTACCAAACCCTGGTGCTGTTTCGCTGCTGCATGTTCCCTAGGACTAGACAGAAATCCATTGAAGTAGCCTGACTGTGTCGTCGAGCCAAGCAAATTCTAAGATATGGAGAAAAGGGAGGGACTTACCGATATTCTTTCCGGTATCTCTCGTCTTCGCCCAGGAATTCAATGGTCGTTGCCTGACAGCAATCCCCACCGCGGCGGCTCCCACGATGTCTACAAAGTCTTGTTCCAGGACTCAATACAATGGGCTGCCCGAGTCTGCCATGATCCTGATGATTGGGAATCTGAGCTGCGTGCTATGGAAAAGTTTACATACTTCAAAAGGGGATGTCCAGAGATCAAGGCTCCAGATATCGTCTTCGAGAATCGTGTCTTGTATTCGGAATGGCTTCCTGGCAAACCATTAGCGATCTGGAACTCTCAAATAGCTTTGGCTCAGCGCCACAGGCTCCTTGATGATCTTGCAGACTTCCTACTGCAATTATGGACCGTTCCAGGCCCTGCGTCAATGTTGCCTACATCATCAAGTTTGCCATATTCTACTTGGTTGACAGAGAGCTTGGACCGAGCGCTTCGAAGGACCCTGTCTGGAATGGCAAAATGGGGCAATGCAGTTGATTACTTGATCATCAGGTCCATGATCCCATCCTACGCTAAGTGGGATACTTACATGGACCTAGGCTTCGCACATGGGGACCTTAATCCGTATAACATCATGATTGATGAAAAGTTTCAACTAACAGGGTAAGATTGCTAAAATTCGGTTTTTTGTTACATGTTCTCTGACTGATCTGCTATAGGGTAATTGACTGGGATTGGATCCATGTTGCACCCATCCCAGCTGTCATACACCATCCTTGGTTTATAGCCGACATCCCTGGTTGGAACAACGATGGCGTTGTTTTAGGGGAATCCTTTGAAGTGGACCGGGCGTATCTTGAGCACACACTTAGGAAGAAAGAGATTTCGCAGCATTCTGTCTCAAAAGTATCAGACCTTCTATCTGACTCAACTGAAAGGTTATTCTTCCAGTCAGCATTTCATTTCAAAGGCATCCATGAGAAATTTGTCAAGTTATATTGTGCGCACACAGAGGAGAATTTTAGGGCTGCCAAGTCACAGTTAGATGCAGTCCTCACCAAGTATCCGGCCTGGACACATTTGTCGGAGGTGAACAAGGTCAGGGATATTCTTGGTTGATCGTCTCCTTTAACCGAACAAGATGTCCGCCATCGTTCTGTTACCGAGCAATTTCCATGTCCACCGCTCCCGCAGATTTGGAAGTGCATTGCATGATTTTTATTGCAACCACCTGGTTCTTTGAATCGGAGGCAAGGAACACCCTTCCAGCGCTACCCTTACCCAGAGGATCATTAAGGGTCCATTGTCCAATTGTCCTGGTGTTGCGATGTGGAGTCGGCATGTCAAAAATGGCAGAAGGAGCCTCTAGTGTGGCGGTTAAGTATCTCTTCCGCTGCTTAATAAATTCTTCTGTGGGCGCGAAATCTGTGTACTGGAAGTTATATACCAATGAGTTCACCCGGATTTTCATGCAATGCTGATTCAAGGCATGGATTTGTCGGCCAACTACCTCACTGTTGACTGCGAGCCCTGCCGACGGTGAACTAGTGATGCTAGCAATGAAGAAGGCTCTGTTCTTCAGATCAAAGTTGAATCGAGCATGAAAGCTCCGGAGGTTGAGGCTGTGGCGCTTAGCAAAGGCGCCGGTGCAGAGAAAGATATCGGCGGCGTAGGGGCCTCTCTCTACCACCCTCTTTCCCACAACCCACCCCAGATTCGGAGCGGACGGGTGATGTTGGAACCCTAGGACGTAATGGCCCTTCCATATCATGCCTAGGTGTCGACTCTCGAGCTCAGTATCCGTGTCGGGCTCCGTGAGGCTCTCACTAATATCTCCTTCACTGAGCTTGCGATCCATCTCTCGTTGAAACAGAAGCCCATCAGCATCGTATTCCTGTTCAGACGCGACCCTGATGCGATAGACTGTGGTGTCTGTTGAAGCTCCCTGCTGACCGCGCGCTATGGTGTCGTAGGCATCGCTAAATGCCATCTTTGCGATGTCATTTGCAGGTGTTAAAGTGGCAAAGAGGATATCCATCTTTGGTGGCTACGTTCCGCAAGTATTCCCCCAAGTTGTGGGAACTGGCAAATAGATGCGGGCGAGTGTTTATATCTCCGTGGATGAAGTGACGACTGCCAGAAACTGTCGCGAAGAGGACCGTGAGTGAACCCTTTCATTCCAGTTGATATGTCCCACGTTTCTGATCATCAAGCAGAACGAAGTCCCTGGTGAGCGGTGGAAATCGACAGACATTGTTCAAAATCTTTCAAATGTTGCATGAGATTTTGGGATAACAGTCGACCTGGTTGGGCCAACCATCCCCCACCTGTTCAACGGACTCTTGACACCCTTCATCAACCAATCAGGATCTTGAAACTCGACTGGCTCCCGCACCGAAAATAAGAGTTGGAACTATTAACAAAACATTCATTCCATTGGTTGGGCAGTACGGGCCCGAGCGGATGACTGGAATCAATCCTGCGGGGACCGCCACAAAAAACTATTTAAGCGATCTCTGTTCCCCTTCAGCAGGAATCATCCCAGGGAGACATGGTCACCAACTTCTGGAACCTAAAAAAATGGCAACCAGATTGATTCTTGGCACTCACGCCATCAACACGCTCATGGAACAGGCCAAACGTTTTGAGGCAATGTCTGTGCAATTTGCAAAGTCGGCGGATCTCGCCACGAGCCAAGCCGCCGAGATTTCCAAATGGACTTCGAAATTGATGTACGCCGTGACCAAGATCCAACAAGAAGCCGAAGCCGCTGCTGCTGCCTGTCGAAAACGCGTGGAAGAGAGGGTTCACGAGCTCAAGACCAAAGCAGACTCACACAAACGAAAGTTATCAATAGCCGCAGAATTAGAATCACCACGAACCGTAAAGGCCAACCTCAGGTTGATATTCGGCCCTCCAAGGGAGGCAGCATATAAGAGCAAAAGCACCAAGGCTCTGATGGCGACCAGCTCTGTTAGGATTCATACCATCCGCAGCTTGTGTCGAAAACACCCTCATGGTGTGATCACTTTTGTTACAGCCTATCCAACCAAAGTTTGGACCGAATCGAGCCTGGAGGTTTTCAAGGGTCTTATCAAACTAGTTGAGGAAGAACAGGAGCAGGATTGGCCGGACGACATTGTCGAGATTATGGATGAATTGGAGAAGGAACGGCCGATGAGCGACGAGTTTAAATACCTTCGCGGTACAACCGACCCTCCTGTTCATTCTCCGCTTCCACTGACCCCTGTATAGCAGAGATCTCCCAGCATACGTACCAGCGCCGTCGGAGGGTGGGTGACACCGGTCGACCCGCACAAGTTGGCAGAATATCTTCCCAGCCCTATGGCCAGGGTACCGCAAGAACGAGTAAGTTAAAGGAATGTTTCAAATCTCAGTAACACTTACATTAGAGAAGCTATGCTGCAACCAATGGCATTTGTTGGATCTACCTTCAATCCAAGTATATACCATCGCCCCTGCGCATAGGACATGGCTAACAGCTCAAACATAGATCCGCAGGGTATACCTCATTTACCCCTACTAAATGAGCGAGAGAATCTGGGGCCACCTGATCCGTCGAAGGAAAATAGAGGTGAGAGGAAGCTTTATATGCAAGATCAATTCAACATCTAACAAATTTATCAACAGAAATGAAGCATATGTACACTAATTCACCCGCTGAAGGCATATCGAATTTACCAGAGCCGTTCAAAACAGCTGTCCAGAATAGCCGGCTCTGGGAGTGGGAAAGAAGTCAAGGTATGGACACGACAGGATGCTGGGCAAGTTTGTTCCCGAAGGATAATAGACAAGATGTCTCCTTCACAATCTGGTGTGGTAACGACGACGGATATCGCCTCAATAATATCTTCGGCTCGGAGCTTACGATTTCCTCCTAGGATTTAGTGAAATATACGCTTGCGCCTCTTATGTAAACCGTGTATCCAGCTGGAACCTCATATTCCACATATTCGGTTGTAGGCGTTTTGTTATTTTGGTGCACTTCGTGGTGGTCTGTTTGTTGGTTGTAGATCGAAAGGTAGTAGCCTTTGAAGCAGATCCTCCTAGCATGTTCTGCCGGAGGGAAACGATGGCTTGGAATTTTCTCCTCTTCCCGCCCAGCGAGAGCTTCGTCCCCTCTCTAGTGTATAAGCATACATTAGCCAAGCCAGTTACAGCGAGCAACTTAAGATCGAAATCATACTTACCTCCATTTTCTGACACAAAATCTTCTAAAGAGCCAGTGGATGAGTAAATCACGTATGAGGTCTTGCCAGTTG